CCCCGGCGTGAGGGGCTGACTTGGAGTCCAATGCGCCTCGGAAAACTCCACAAACTATCCCGTCTTATTTGGCAAAAGCTCATTTTTTTAAAGTTCGAAGACTTGATCAACAAAAGGGAGGAAGAGGATCCTATGGGAGGAGGCCGAGCCCCAGGGCTGCTGCAGAGTCTGTCCCTGGAGACGGTGTAGTCCAAGTAGACCCCGAGGGCAGAGCAGGGCGGCTTCCTGGTGCCCTGAGGACTAGCGACCATCGTAGTGTTGGCCGGGAGCCCGGAAGGGGGCAGCGGCGTCCTTGGACCCGCACCGGGAGGATTCCTCCACGCGAGGGGAGGGCCGGCTGCCACGCCTGGCTCGGCCTCCAGCCCACACAAGACCACGGAGACATCTTAACCTACAAGCCCCACCTCACGCCCCCCACCCCCACGTGCACTGCTGCCACAGAAACGCACACCAGAAACCGCTCTCGAACAGACAGTGCACACACATATATAATATAGAGAGAACTATACAGCACGTGGCCAGACAGCCCACGGGGGGCCTGCACTGGGGCCACACGGGACGACGCAGACACACAGGCGGGGCCTTCCCGGGCTGGGCGGGCAGAGGATGTGTTCTGAACCGTTCAGGGCGGCTGGAGACGGCCCCCAGCAGTCCGCCCAGCTGCTTAGAGATGCCTGGGCAGTGACGTGGTGCCACACAGTCACAGGCCGGGAAAAGGGCCCCAGCCATGCCCACTGCCTCCCCTCTCGGGAGTGAGGCCTGGAGCTGCCTTCGACACAAGCTGCTCTCCAAGGGGAGCCCAGGGGGCAGCTGGCGTGTGGCTGGGAGCAGCAGTGCCAGCCTGGCCCCCTTGGCCCCAGGGCTCCCGGCAAGGGGGTAGGGAGGCAGGTGGGGAGCCACTGAGGAAAGTGCAGCTGGCTGTGAGGGCCGAGGACAGGGCGGTCACTAAGGCAGTGCTGCGGGCAGGCGCGTCCAGAGAGAGGAGGGCAGGCGGGGCCTGGCCGCGGCCCCCCAGGACCCCGGTACCGGGGCCCTGGCACCCGGCCCGGGGTCATGTGGCCACGGCCTCCAGGTAGCTCTGCAGCTTGCGCACGGTGGTTTCGTCCAGGGAGAAGAGGTCGAAGTCAAAGGTGGTGTTGGTGACATTGAAGTGGCCGGTCTCCTCGATCAGGTTCACGATCTGCAAGGCGGGGGCAGGGGGCCTCAGGGACGGGAGGCGAGGGCGGGGCGGCCCTGTCCTCCACCACGTCCCCAAGAGAGGAGCTCCTCAGGCTGCAGGCAGCCAAGGGCTCCGGCAGCCCACCCTCCTCGAGCACCCGCCTGGGGCCGATACCTGCTGCAGCACGTTGCGCTCCCGCAGGGCCATCAGCCTCCGGTGCAGCTCCACCAGCTCATCTGTGTAGGCCTGGGGGGTGTGGCGCCAGGAGGTGGCCTCAGCAGGTGGGAGGGCGGGCCTCTCCCCGTCCCAGGCCAGCTCCCCGCAGGCCGCGCACCCCAACACAGGTGCCCGGTCCCACCCCAAGGAGGGGCTGATGCTGCAACGGGGGCGGGCTCCCTGCCCAGGGACAGTCTGGCTCTCGGGGCTCCCTCAGCCCTCCCGCCCCCGTGCCGGCCCCACACGTCCGCCACCTTGTCGTAGGTGCCCTTCTTGAGGATCTTCTCAGGCTTGCTGCAGGACTCCGGGCTCCTCCGGCCTGACGCCTGCAGGGGAACCCAGGCCTCTGCTGAGCTCTGGCCTATGCTCCCCCTCCGGGAGTCCCCAGCCCTTCCCAGGACAGCCACTGAGGCCGTTCAAACCCTGCCCTGGGACGCCTTGGTCCCCCTGTGGTCTGAGGGTGAACCATGCCTCACTCTGTGCCCACTGCCCGCGGCCTCCAAGACAGGGACATGGTCACCCACTGGGCCCCAGACTTACCTTGCTGTTGGGTGGGGGTGGCTTCTGGGGGGGTGGAGGCTCACGGCCGGGCAGACAGGAATCGGCACTGTTGTCACTCTCGCTGTCACTGAAACTCAGCCTGCAGGACACAACGCTGGTCAGGCCCCACCCCACCGCCTCCTGGCTGGACCTCCCCACCCACGCTCTGACTGTGGCCAGGGACGCCCAGGTCGTCACACCCTCCACAACTCCACTTGGCTCTGGGAAGCTACTGCTGGCTTAAAAGGCAAGAGAATGTGTTTGAGCAACTGGCCAATGGGAAAAGCCCAGGAACATAGGCCACTCAGAGGCCCGGGACACCCAGGGTGCGAAGGCCCCCAACACTCAGTCAGCCAGCTGTCCCGGGATGGCTGGGCTGTCGGCTCTAACAGCGCAGAGGAGCTGCTGCCCGTGGAGGCAGCCGCTGCCCTACTCCCAGCACTGCTCTGACCGTCCTGCAGCCACTGGAACCTCCAGCCTTCCCATGGCCACCTGACCACTGACCCTCCTGCAGCCACCTGACCCTCTCTGATCCTTCACAGACACCGACCCCATGAGCCTCCCGCAGCCACATGACCACTGATCCTCCAGTGGCCACCTGACCACCTGACCCTCCCACGGCCACGCGACCCTCTGACCCTCCCAAAGCCACCTGACCCGGGCATGCTCTGGACCACAGGCCTTCATCAGCTACACTGGCCCCAGATCCCAGAGGGAAGCGGTGTGAACAAGGGGTGTCTGGTGGTGATGAGGGCCCAGGGGCCTCCTGCCCCCTGGCTGGGAAGGGCCTTGATTTCTGCCCCCATTTCCGGTGTGGGACAATGGAGCTTGGGCTCACAGTGACAAGTGTTCCCTACGCCAAGCCCACCCACCTTGAGTCTGACCACCTCTCCCTAGAAGCCCCATTTCTCTGTCAGGGACGTTCTGGGCTGGGTCCAGTGAGAGGGAGCCCTGACAACCGGCACTTTCCCACATATCTAAAGCACAATAGACCCCAGGCCTCCTCCTGAGCAAAATGCAGAAAGCCCCCCGGGAGCCAGTACCCCGTGCTCAGTCTTGCTCCCCCAGGGTCCTGGCCTTGTCTGTTTCCCGCTTCCATAACAGGCCTCAGGCTGGGCCCTGCCCTTTCCAAGGCCTGGAACTCGGTGGCCTCCTGACTCCGGCCCAGGAGACACCTCTGCTCACTCTCATGCTTGCCTCTCCCTGTGTCCGACAGGTGGCAGCTGGGTGCCACTGCAGGCTCTGGATCTCCCAGGCAGCAGCCCAAGTGGACCCTTCCCTGACAATGCAGGGACAAGGCTGCAGGCCTTCACCAGGGCCTCCACAAGTGCTACAGTGGGCACTGAAAGGTGCCTCGGCGGCCAGGCTCAGTGGCTTAGCCTGGAATCCCAGCACTTCGGGAGGCCAAGGCGAGTGGATTGCCTGAACCCTGGGGTTCGAGACCAGCCCAGGCAACTTGGCGAGACCTCATCTCTACAATAAATCAAAAATTAGCTGGGTGTGGTGGCCTATAGTTGTGGCTACTTGGAAGGCTGAGGCTGAAGTATCGCCAGAGCCTAGCAGGTCGATGCTGGGGTGGCCATGAGTGTGCCACTACACTTCAGCCTGGGCGACAGACTCCAACTTAAAATAACAATGATAATTTTTTTAGAGACAGGGTCTCGTTTTGTGAGACTCGAACTCAAAAAAAAAAAAAAAATAAGGAAAGAAAGCTGCTTCAGGGTCAGGTCCCTGGGCTATGCTGCCAGCCACTCCATAACGGGACCCTGTCAGCTTTCTCTGCTCATGGCTCTTGGCATCATCTGAAGTCACACTGTCACCAAACAAGGCAGGAGTCTGATGCCACCCTCCTGTCCCAGGGAAGTAATGGTCTCTCTTGCGTCAAGGGACAAATCCCTGCTGAGTCAAAGTCCTAGACCTCCCAAAGGTTGGTTTTCCCCAAATCCTCAGCAAGCTGCTGTTCCCACTCTGCCCCTCATGGCCACAAGCACACGCCACGGCCACAAGCACAAGTGCGCGTGTGTGCATGTGAAAGAGAGAGCGCGCGCGTGCGCATGCATGCTGGTGTGGGGAAAGTGGCTTCAATCAACAACAGGGACACCCGCAGGCAGCTGTTAGGCCCCGTGCTCCTGGCTCAGAGGAGTCATTGAGGCCTGGGGGGCCCAGGCTCATGGGGAGGAGGTGCTGACCACCGTCCCTGCCATCTTTCTCACCACTGCCTGAAAGAGCCCAGGCCCTCCCCCCATGCCTGCCTGCTCTGGGCTAGAGGCTGAGCCTGAGGGAGCCTCCTGAGGTGGTCACGCCAAGGCTCTGGGGTATTCCAAGGATGTGAGTTGGCCCACCTGTGCCTTTCAGGAAAAGAGCTGCAGGCAGCCAAGGCCGCTCCCACCCCAGGTGTCTGCAGTCCCAGGATGGGATCCCCTCGGAACACTCATCTCCTGGCCCAAGAACTGAACCTGCTGACCACTCTCCACTCGCATGTGACCACCCCCCCACCCCCCCACCCCCACCCCCGGCTGTAGGGCGCGGACTCACTCTGCCCCACACCTCCTCCTGGGATGGCAACTGTTCTTCTCTGGCAACGGCCCCAGCCCCCGCCAGGCAGCCTACGCCTTCTAGTGGCCACGCGGAGGATGCCACCGAAGGCCACAGATGAGGGAAGGCCCTCGAGGCTCTCAGCTCCAGAGGACATGTGGCCCCAAAGCCCGTCCCGGTGCCCAGGCCGGCTGAGCCGCCCAGGGACCGATCACCACTCGGTCCTCCCAAGGGACCTTCCAGTCCCAGCCCTGCCTGCAGCCCCACCCTGGACTGCCCACGCGGCCTGGGCCCCGTCACCTGGAGTCCCTTCCTGGGTTTGTCTTGACAGCAGCTTCCTCGCCAGACGAAGAGTCATCCTCGTCAGACTCCTCGGACTGCAGGTCCTCCACCATGGAGCGCAGGGGTCCTGGGAGAGGGGCCGGGAAGGGGGAAGAAGGGCAGGGCTCCAGCTGAGCCTACAGGGCCCCTTCCCCCACGAGGCCACACGGAGCTGCTCGACACTGGTGACCCTGGTACACAGCCTGCTGGGGAGGCCCCTCCACCAGGCGGCCTGCGCCTGCTCCCACACCCCAAGGCCGCCCCTCCAGAGCGCCCCGGCTCCACCACCTCTCCTACCTTCCTGGTCCCGCTCACAGGCCTCGGGCCCCTGGTCTGGGGGGGGAGCCTGGGACCCCTCCATTGCCAGAGTCGAAGGAGAAGCCCTCCTCTGCTCCCAGGCGCAGAGATCAGAGGCGCTGCTGAGCCCAGGATGAGCCAGCCCTCGCCGGGGAGGGTGAGGGAGCCGGAGCCAGGGGCTCGGACACGCTGCCCAGAGCCAGAGTCCCCTGCCCCACTGCGCCCTGCACAGGCCTGCCTGTCCCCTCAGCAATCCCCGTGCTGCTCCCAGCCCACCGTCCTCCCCTTTCTCCAGAGGCACACGGTTCTAGTCCCCTACAGACGGCATCTTGGTTTATATTCCTGTTACCAAGGCAACAGAGGGACACAAAGCCCTCAATTACCTTGGTCACATGATCCCGCTCCAGCAGGTTCCCCCTCCCTTCCCGGCAGATAAGAACACTTGGAGAGAATGTGGGCTTCAAGTACCCCATCCCCCAGGCCCCCTCAGCGACTGCAGGGCTGAATTCCAGACCAGACTCCCCTCCCCATCCATTCTCCTCCAGCCCCCCCCATAAAGGAGTCGAGGGCATGGGGGGAGGAGACACTCATTCCAATCCCCTAATAGTAATGCTCCCGGCCTGCGGTGGGTGTTGAGGCCTGGGCCAGTGCTGGGAGGCTCAGGACTAGGGCACACTGCTGGGATCCTGAGGCCCTCCCTGCTCCAGAGCAGGCTGGGACAGCCCAGCAGCCTACGACCCCTCCCCAGAAAGCTGCTCCTCCCGCCCCCAGGAGGCTGGAGTGATACAGCAGGGATGCAGGGGACTGACTGCCCACCACACACTCAGATGGCAAAAGAGCATCCCAGCCTGGCCCATGGGCAGTCGGCGCCCAGGGGTCCTCACCAGGGGCAGGATGGGCAGAGGAGGAGACGCTGCCCACAGTGCCTGCAGCACTGGGAGGGGCTGCAGCAGAGGGTTTCTGGCCACTGGTAGGCCCATCGGAAGGACCAGTCCTCACCAGCACAGATCCAGGTGCAAGGGCGTGCCCTGGGCCACAGGACAGCCACCAACAGCCCCCAGTAGGAGCAGAGCAGCGACCCTCAAGTCTGGCTGAAGGTCAGGGGGACCCATTTCTGTTTCACCTCTAAACACAGCCGCCCCTGAGTCTTACAGGTACAGATCTGTGGGGCCCAGCCCACACAAGCGTCAGACGCCCGGGACCACACACGGCCCGTGAGCTTAGCCGGCTGTGGCCAGAGCTCCCACCCTCAGCACGTTGCCAAGGAGCCTTCCTGGTGGTGGTGGCAGCTTCCAGACCCAGGCGATAAATGAGTCCCGAGTCAGTCAACCTCGTGGGAAGGGAGTGGGGAGCCCTGACTTCCAACAGACTCAACGCCTGCAGGCTCCAGGGTCCAGGGGCTGCCCTCGTTACACACCTTGACTGTGGTTCTGAGATGGCTCGAAGTCCGAGTCGGAGCTGGAGTCGGAGCTGGAGCTGGAGTTGGATGGGCTCGACTGGGCGGACTTCACCCCACGGGATGGGCAGGGGAGAGACGGGAGAGCCATCACCTTTCGGCCGAGGAGAGAGGCACCCTCTGGCAGCGCCTAGGCCCAGCAGGTCTCCCCCAGACAGCCTCAGGGTCCCAAAGGCACCCATGCATGCCACTGCTGGGAACCTGCAGGAAGTCGGTGCCCTCCTCCAGGCTGACACCACCAGGCCTTCCCACTGAGAGGCTGCTCTAAGCTTTTACTCAGGGCTCATGTCTGGGCTTTCCTGTCTGCCTAGGCAAGAGTGCAAGGGACCATGCAGCTCTGAGCAGGGAGGAAGCTAGGGTGGGGTCTGAGGTCTGTGGGTGTGTGGCCCTCTCCTCACTGGAGGTGTTTCAGAGAGGCCTGAACAGGAGAGCTGGGTGTGGAGGCTTCTGACTCCAACCTAGATGCCGTCCTGGGGCTCAGGGTTGACAGAGAGCTCTGTCTCCCCACCCAGGGGCTGCCATCCCTCCTCTGCCCGGGTGCTGACAAGGTGTGCACACCTGGGACAATCGTAGTGGACTAGCCTAGCCTAGCCTGTGCTTCTGGTACCCACCACAAGGGGGCAGTAAAAGCCCACACAATCATGACAAAGGATTCAAGGGGGTAAGATGCCAGGTGAGAGGCTGCCTGTGAGTGCAGGGGGTTCAGACCGATCTCCCAGGTGGCCAGGAACCAGGCCCTGTACACACCTGCATGGGGAAGGGGCCCACCTTGGCCTCGCCCCACAGGGTGCTGAGGCTGGGCCAGAACCGGGGCAGCAGGCCAGGGATGGCACAGGCTCTGCAGGGCAGACATCAGCCTACAGCTCGGAAGACCTGCCCCAGCCCAGGCATACCCGATCCCAGGAAGGCCACCTCATGGCTAGCAAGGGCCCCACCTGGTGGACTAAGTGGCTTGAGCACCTCGGCGCTCCCCTCCACCACCTCCTTGTCAAGGGCGGGGGGGGGGGG